GGGCCATGCCCATAGCCCAGACATCTTCTTTGTGCTGAATATATATTCTGCCTGAGTGTTGTCCTCTTTCGTCTTCAGGGATTCTCGGGACGCTGCACTATAATGGCTTTCAATATTTTTTAGATTTGCTATTTTTGCATACCTTTCTTGTTTGGGTATGGAGACTGAATTGCGCTCAAAGTTTCCTGACCCCTCACACATTTGCCTCAAAATATGTTTAATTTTAAAACTTCACTACCCGGCATTAATTTTGTTAAGTCTGAGAAGGCTTATCTTCCTGGTTTTGATTTTGTGGCTTGCCTTGCAAACAATAGTTTGTCGCTTTGCAGGGCTATTATTCAGATGCTCAAACTGTTTATTTATTGAGTACTTTTAGCTACCATAGGGTCGAATAGCTGTTTTACTTAGCTAAATTGAAGATTTCCGTTACCAATTTTTTGTACAGTTATCTTCAGTTTTTCTACCCAATTTGCTTTTGCCGTGTTAGAATGTATGATCTTCTGATCTCGACGTCCCCGATCCTATGCAAGAGTTGCAAGAGTACATTAGTAGTTTTTTCTCCCATGAACATACTCAGAGGGAATAAGATGTTTTTTGCTTTTTTCCTTCACTCTGTTTTACTTCTGAATGTGTATTTGTGCGCCAGTTTCGCCGCTTTTGACACCGATCGTAACGGCTTGCTCTCACGAGGTGCTCTGCTGGGCTTTGATACTTAGAAGACATAAAAGCATTTGGTGTAATGGTTAACTATTTGTCCCATGGAAAATGCTGCTTGGTTGAAGTAGGGTCATATAGGTCTCCAACCCCATTCTTGTTGGGCATAAGCGGATCTGGTGCCGACGCCGACAACTCAAGCCGAACACCGGGTGATAAGTCATCGTGTTGATGTATTTAAAACCCACATTTACAGGCGATTAAACACTCTGCGGTGTATGAAAGGAGAATGAGTGGAACTGTTTTGGGAACTCTCATAATCTATAGATCTCCTTGACCTTGATTTCATCAGTCTGGATGACCTTGTGAGATCGCGAGTTGTGATTAGATCCTTCTGTCTATCCAGCCTTCATTAGTCCACTTTTCCACTCATCTTTTCTGTATTTTGTCCATCCAAGTACACCAACCTATTAATTTGCCAATTGTCCATTTATTTGTGATGCATTCATCCATCTATTTATTCATCCAGTCAACTGGTCACCCATGCATCTCAGTCTATCCATTAGTTTATCCGCCAACCGTTCATTCCCCTTCCATATACATCTCTGAGTCTTTCTGTCCATCTATCCCTCCACTCAACCTTCCACCAAACAGATCATAAATCTATTCAAATAACTATTTGGCTATTTATCCATTACGCATTCAACTATTAAACCAAATGCTCATCCGGCCATCCGCTCACCCATCTCTCTCTCCGACGCATTATTTTAGTCGCAGAGGAGGCGGCGACAGACCTTTTGGCTCATTCATCGATATTCGTGAGTTAAGCGCAGTGGATGAAGCGGTAATTCAATCTCCAGAAGAGTCTGCTGCCCCACTGTCACGTCTTTTTCATGAATGCGTCTATCCAAGCGCTTGCATTTGGGGCAAATACTTTGTGCTTCTTCCCTGGTGCAAAAAATACATGATACTCCGCTTTAAATTTTGGAGCTTTGATGAGAAATAAGGTGGAGACAATCCTCTCGCAGGTGAAAGCGGTTCGCCGTGCTTTTAAGTAGCTAAAGTATAACTGTCACCCTTATATCGGCAGCTAAAATTGGACAATAGAGACCAACCCACTCTCCCGGGCTAGAGCAAAGACGTTTTATTCTAGCTGTAGACACGAAGCGGGCAGTCCACCTCAACGTTTTTTTTCGTCATTGCACCTCTATGTGTTCCATTGTGATTCGCTCATTTAGGTGTCAGAACTGAGGGGGAGTAGGCAGATATCTATCTGTAGAACGCTTCTTCACAGAGAGGTACTGTTTTCTGACACTAAGTGCTCAAAGCCTTTATTTGTTTATCCAGAGGAGGTCACGCTATTTGTATTATCAAAGGAGAGGAAAGGGTTCATACTTCGTCGGTGTCCATTAGTGAAGTCATTCCTTGCGCTACAGAGATGCACGTCCTTCTATCCTCTAAATGGTCATACCAAGCCAGGAATATGGTGAGATAATGTTTGCTTTGAAGGGGCATTAAGCAAGCCACTAATTTGGATTTTTTATAGACACCTATCGACTATCCTACTGATATTAACTGAGCAGGTGGCAGCTTGCACGAATTATTCTTCGTTTTTTATTAGGAATTTGCATACTTGGTTGCTTTTGTCCTTTTAAATATTGACTAGCGCAAAGCAAGTGTGGATGCCATTTTCAGAGAGTGCCCAAACCATTCCTTGCGTTGCCGTTAAGGGGACTACGTCAAAACTGTGTCGCTACTCTTTATTTCTTCAGTAGGCACCATTCCACTGTAGGACTAGACGTTTTCCTCACTGTCCCCACACACCTCGGTAACGTAGGCGATCAGTAGGTCCTCCAGTGCTCCCTCCATTAATTCACCTTAATATAGTGAGAAAAACGGACAGACATTTGGGTGAACAAGGAGGCCAGCAACAAGTCTCTTGCTCATAAAGATACCGAATGTGGGAACCCACGCCATTTTGAAATGAAAGCAAAGCTTCGTAAAGCTTTTTTTGTGCTTCGATGGCGTTAACTTATGGCAGAATCCAACATATGCCTGCGTAATTTCGGCATATTTTCATTTAGCACCAACAAAAGTTTTTCGGTGGTTACCTGTGTTTGAATTGCCGGCTTGTCCTTCAGTCTCCTCCTTAAAGCATAAAGTAAGGGTAACTTTATGGGGAAAAAAGAAATGGTCAGGATCGTTCAGATTAACCTACTGTAATGGCTTGAATGCAACAAAAAACCTCTTTAATCATGAGATATTATTTTGCTGAATGCCTATCCAAAAGGAGCAAAAGGAAGCTGAAGTTATTGTTAAAGAATGTGTTATGACTTATCTATCTCGAATTTTTGAGGCTCCACTAATATCCAACGTCTCTTGATTCCGGTTTAAGCCACCGGAAGCCTTATCTCCTGCATTTCTTCTGGCTAGAGGAGGTTAGCATAAGAAGCTAGTCAATTTTTTAATTTAGAAAATACATTAAATTACGGTTTCGCATCACCTGAATCACCCATTGTAGAGTGGAATAACAGTTTTGATGCTAAATTCTTTAAGATGCAATTGCCAGCAAGTCAAGTTTTACTTGCTTTCAATTTAAAAAGTACAAGTAAATTTTACACGCTGAAAATATCAGGCTGGTTTTGCCTCCATGTTTGTTGGTTAATCATCCAAAAAGTCATCTCTTAATGGACAAAAAACTTGGATTACCTCGCCTCTGGCATACAGTCAGTAAATGACAACTGAGGGATTGATAATAGACTCTTGAAACGAAATGCTTAATTGTGCATTTAACCGCGCCACTTTTTGGGACTACTACCAACATCTTTGTGGTATGAACATTCAACCATATCCATAGCCTTTTAGGTCTTCCGAGTCCCAGTGCTATACCGCCTTGTTACACCATCAGATGCGGCTTGAAGAGCCGCATAACTGTATGGACATGAGCTGACCAAACTCTCAAATGAAAGACTGTTTTAATTACTAAATTCCGTTTTTTGGATCGTCAAACATTCGTTTCGCCGTTTGAAAACGAAGACTTACGATTATGTAGCAGTTACAAGACCCATACTACTTTAGAACCTACGTAACTGTCGGTCACTTTCTAATGTTGGGTTAATTGAATCAGGGATCCTTTTTCCTAAAATAAAAAGATTTAGTATGAAATAAACTTCGTCAAAATCAGTAACCTAAGAGTTAACTTTATTGTTTACAAAAAATTGTGAATCGCGACAAATCATCTCTAATGGAATGTCTTGGTGATAACTTCAAACATTTCCAATCACATTATCCAAACTTACTGATCGCTTCCAAGCGTTCTAGTAGTTCTTCTTTACGATGATCCGCATCTGCGAGGATTAAGATCAGTAGCAGTTTTTCTTCACTTAATTAAAAATTAAATAAAAATCCCAAGCACTGTTTTTAAAAAACAACTTGACATGCTCTGATTGATGAGTGCTATGGGATACAATTCTTAAGAATCAAGTTTACTTTTGGAAGTAAAAGGTTTCTAGCATTTATGAAACTTCATCCGTCCTCTTGGTTAAGTGAGATGATTTAAATTCTTGCAATTCTAAGATGACACATCAAGAGTCATGTATTTTAAAGAAGAAAACGTCGACTTTGTTTTGTTACCTGTATCAGCAATTTAATGCCAGGGGTTATAACAAAATTCCTTCGCAAATTTAAATGAAAGTTTGATTAGATCAAAGTCTAATACAAAACACATTTTTACCTCTCGAGCCAAACAAAATTATTTAGCCTACTTTAAAGCACTAGGATTGTTCCTCTACTAACCACTATAACCTACACCAGCAAGAAGGGTTTAATCTAATTTATTCTACCCTCTTATAAAGTAACAACTTAATGCTTACCCCTTAGAGCTTCATTTCCATCCTTCCTGTAGTCGACGAAATATGACCATTTATCTTCACCTTTAAGCAACAAACGTACCCCAAACTTGCCCAAGATTCAAGAACTTAAAAACATTGTCTTGGGAACAGGTGAATGACAAGTATGAGATGTCCGCGTGATCTGTGGCCGTAGTAACCAGGTGTTAAAACATCTGTCTACACTTTATAATATTAAGGTTAAAAATGTCGCCAAATATAATAAGGCAAAAAGAAGTTTTTGTAAATTATGAATTTTAAAAGCCAAAAAAAGGTATTTCGAGTGCCCATTTGTAATGGTAAATTTATGAAATGTTTATTCACAAATGTTGGTAGTTGTCACATCCTTCCACCTTTCAAAATTGAATTTCTATGTTGAATATTACCTCTTTTGGAAACATAAATCTTCAGACCTGTAAAGAACTTCACGAACAGAAGATGCATGGTCAATTTGACTGGTTTTTGGGGCCAAAGTCTTACTCCTTGCAATTAAACTTATTGAAGTCAGTCATTTTTATACAACGAGCCAACTGTTTTACTACAAGTAATCAAAAAATCAAGAAAGAGAAATTGGTCTTTGTGATGAGGAAAGGTGCAGTAAGGGGCACTGGATAACTTACACACAGTGTAGAGTCCATCCAATGGACTGAAAGACACATCAACGACGGCCCTCCAAAAGAATGCAACATTCTTAACAATCCATAGGAGCAAAGTTACATCTGTTGCTACAATAGCCATTGCCATTAGGCCCTGCATCAGATCCAGACCCTCATAAGGTGGATACATATCTGTAAATTTGACATCTGTGGCAGCAACAGCATTCTGCTCCCCTGCCATTAACGATGACGGTACGTATCTATCTGAGGGGCTCTTTGTGTGTTTTAGGAGCGTCAAGAGGGCGTTCATCGTGTTGACATTGTAGTCGTTGTAGACCTGCAGTCGCCAAAGGTAAAGAGCGCAATTAAGATCGGGCGATTGTGCCGTCATAGTGTCACTTTGTGACAGCCTCTGGGATACAAATGTTGCACGATCGATGGCCCGTGCCAACCCAAGTTTATGGATTCGATCAGATGATAGGGGGCAGAGGGGCGTCCTAACCAGTCAAGCATGGGAAATGAGCAATGTAATAAGCATGAACTGGCCTTTTAATAATTTAGCCTCTTATGAATCATCAATTCGCTACAAAAAATCTTCCAATTTATTGTACTAAAAACTAGAAGTCTGGAACTTTAATAACTTTGCAATGCAACAAAATATCCGATCAGAAGTGATTATTCGTTTAATTAACTCCGCTAGTCAGGGACTTGTTTTATAGAAGATATCTGTTGGCTGGCCTTGCTGCAAAATCCAGTTTCTTTTTTTAGTTAGCAAAAATGAAAAGCCGTTTCAAGGGCCTTCTAATGTGCAAATTCAATTTCATTTGGCTAGAATAAAACAAGCTTTAGACAACCAGATCCATTCCCAAAACTGATAAGAAAGTGAGAAAAGCCTAGTAAGAGGAATAGGATAGCCATTGTCATAGTAGCGCCGAATGCCACGAATAAGCATGCATTCCTCTTGTTTTAAGGTATTCTGTCTGTCAAATGGAGTGCGAGTTTCATAGCCGCACCCAGTTATTGGCATTGCCACCACTACTGCTGCTAGGCATTCTTCCGCAAAGACGCTACAGCCATTTAAATGTTCATTTTTTTTCCATTTCTTCAATCACCAAAATGGTCATTCAGAGTGACCACTAGCCCCCTTCTTGACTAACTGCGCAAATCACGGAGTGTAAATAGACGGATGGACCAGATTGTAAGAGTTCTTTTCCCTTTTCAATCTAGCGTTCATCACACTGGTGCGACGGCTTTTAAGATTTTCAACTTACTCTGTGGGGGACCCCTTTATCGTCTATTTACTTCAGACATCACTTATATGATTTGGAACAACAACGAACTAAAGTAAACCCTTGTGAAGATCACATGCTAAATGCAATCAGGTCCTCCATCTTCACTTCTGCAACGGCATGACCCGGTGTCACAGTATCAAAACCATCTTGAAAGTAATCTAACCAATCCCCATGTCTCATGCTCTCATCACAGCTCTTCACGTCTGAGTTGGCTGAGCAATTCACCAATGAATGAGATGTGTATTTTTGCAGTAAAAGAGGGGGAGGAAGCGGTAGATTAGGATATCTCCTGTCACCCGTATCGTACCGCCACTTTCGCACAGCAGATAAGAGACAGCTGGAATAGCAATGAACGCGGAGGGTTGAGGAGGCCAGAGAGGCACCCATTAGCGGTGCTTTCAAGTCCGTAGGGATAACAAGGGGGAAATTTGTGGTTACTGTCTGCGTCTAATAAATTACGTATCTACCAATTATGGTTGACATATAGACCCACAGAAAGGAACTGGTAAAAGCAATTTAGGCAATGTAGCTGAAACAAAGTACTCTTGGGATGACTGTGGCAATAAAAGCTTCAATCGGTTTTAAACTATTTTCCTTGAACAGAGAAGGGAAGAGCTTAGAGTATTTCCATTCAGTCTGTCAGCCCATAGCCCAAAAACAGGGCAAGGGTTACTGGCTAATCTATTTATGATTTCTTAGAAGATGAAACTAATTACTTAACTCCTAAGGGCTTGGAGGATAAATTGCTGCTAGCAACGCCTATTCAAATGGAGTATGCTACCTGCATGGTGAAAGAGTGGGCTTGGTAGGAAGGATACCTTTCAAGTGACCGAATGGGGACATGGGGATATCATGATAAAATCGAACAATGCCAAAAGCTTGTTAAGGAATCTTTTATTCTTAAAGATAATCAACATGAAGACATGCTATCAAAATCCTTTCCAAGGGGAGCGTAAACTCATTGAGAATGTTAATTGCATGAAATCTACTTTGTCTCTATCCTGAGTCAGCTCAGCTCTCTACAGTCTAATTGAGTATGATCCTACTAAGGCCTCTGACCAACGCCAAGACAAGGTGACCATTACTACGGGGAGGGATATCACCGAGGTGGTGAGGCTGACGCACTGTCTGACTCACATCCCCAGTAAGAAGCTAGTTGCCTCAAGACTGTTTGGCGTTGTGGGATGTAAGAATTTGCATTTTCTTGTGAGAATAGAACATCTGACTGACTAGTCGTGCCTGTATCCCGATTAGGTAGAGTTCATTGCACTGATTAGAAATCTGTTGCCAACCCAACCGTAATTGTTTGGCATTTAGCAAGTGATGCTGTAGGGATGCGAGTAATTTATACGCAGCTATGAT